CTCAGAGGGACCACAGAAGCTCTGCTGGAGGCCGGGAGCAGACACCCCTCCACTGCCTTCCCCAAGTGCACCAAGCCCACCTGGGAGACAACCCACAAACTCAGGCAGGCCCCCAGGTCCCACCCATTAGGGCCTGTTTCTGGTTGTTGGAGGCTGGGCAGGAAGGAGGGAAAAGTCACCGCCAAGAAGCCCTCCAGTCTGCGGCTGCACCTCCACGTGAGTCCCCCATCCCTCCCGCTCCGAGTTTCTGGGGACAGGAAGCAGCAGCCTCAACGAGCCTCCCAGGCTGAGAAGGGCCTGGGCTGCCTTGGGGGCCATCGGCCTCTGTCCTGCTTGGCTGTTTCTCAGCTTGTGTCTTGGGGCAGGGGATGGGCACGGGGGCAGGGCAGGTGCCGGAGCCCAGCAGGCCATGAGCAAGCAGCCTCGAGGCCCTGCCGACGCTGCCCCAAACCCTGCCTCCCAGAGGCCTCAGGTGGGGTTGGTGCCGCCCACAGCCAGCTGCACTCTGGATGTTGTCCTGTCCTCTGTCCTGGCTGCCCCTACAGACCCCCAGGGCAGGGCTCCTGCAAAGGACCCCCCAGCCTCCTTGGTCCTCACCTCCCAGACCCTCTCCCTCTGAGGACCCGGCAGGACCATCCTCCCCTCCTCCAAACTTCCACACAGACAAGAGCCAGTACCCCTGGTAGGGCAGACAAAGCCCGTGGCCCCTTCCTCCCCACAGGCGTCTCCCACCCCCGTGGCCCTCTATCCGCCACACACACACATGCAAGGCCCTCTGCTCTGTTGCCCCATAGCCTCGTCCTAGGCCACAGCTCCGGCTGTCCTGATGCTTCCCTTCCACGGGGTGGGGGTCGGTGAGAGCAGACTGAGCAAAAGCCCCTGTGGGACCCCTGTCTGGCTGACCCCAAGCCTCTCTCACCTTCCCTGAGCAGGTTCAGGAACCCCCGAGCCATGTCGTCCTCCTGGACACAGCTCAGGGCCCCCAGGCTGTTGGAGGAAGGGAGGCAGCTGGGTGCCCAGGGCCAGGGAGGGAGTCCTGTGGGAGAGGAGCCCCCCTCTGTTTCCTAAACCCAGAGCTCTCTCTGCTTCCCTGGAGAAGAGGGAGAACCCGGTTCCCATCGTAGGGAAATGGGCCCTGAGTCACTTGCCCATTTCCAGTGAGATATGCTCCCCGGTTACCCACTGAGGGCCACCAAGACCCAGGCACTCTCAGCAGCATTTCCCCTGAGGGGCCTCAAGCTCAGGCTGTCCCTGCTCCTGGTGAGCCAGTGAGGGGGAGGCAGGAGAAGGGACAGGCCTGGACTCCAGCCAGCAGGACATGGCCCCCCCACACCCCCCAGGCCCGCCTGCACAGGGCGTGCCTAAGCGCGTGTCTCCGTGTCTCCGTGTGTCTGTGCACGTGTCTGCAGGTGCCTGTATCAGTGTGCGCGTGCACGTGCATAAGTGCGTGTGCGTGTGCGTGTGCGGAGACCCAAGTCAACCGGTTTAGTCAGGGTGGAAAGTGACCGCCACACACAAAGGACCGTGAGAATAAAGCTATGGAGGTGAGGGCGTCTGGCCGAGCCCCACACTTAGCGGGGAGCCAGCCTGCCCAGCCCCACTCTTCTCCTTCGCCTCTCTCCCACCCCCCAGCCCTCCCCTCCTGCTCTGCATCTGCGAGGGTCCTGACACTCCCTGCCTGCCACGCTGGGCCTTGCCCCTCCCTACCCTGCTCTGCTCTGGGGGGCAAGACCGCCCCTGGGGTCTCTGGATCTGCTTTCCCAAACACGTGAACAGTCGCACCCAGCAATGCACGAACCCACGCTCACCAACACCTAGCATGACACACACCACCTTCCACGGCTCCCTCCTCTAGGGCTCCTCTCCACAGGCGGGAAGTGCGCCACCTGACTCATTTCTGAAAATGGAAATCATTTCCACAGGCTGACACTCCCCAGTGACCAGCCCACAGAGCAGATGAAGGGCTGGGCGAGTCGGGGCTGGGGCTCGGGGCCCTGGGCCACGGTGTCCCTGTGGGGCTTCAGATGAGGGGCTTCTGAGGCTAGGAAGAAGCATCTGGGAGTCATTGCCCCTGCCAGGCCGAAGCCGGCTCCCGGGGGTCCTGGGCACCCACAGCCGGGACCCCCATTCTCCTCTAGCCCCTGCTGCCCCTGGGCTCCCCACCCTCCCCTCTTCCCACTCCCCATCCCACTTCAGATGTAATAGGCTGAGGGGAAGCCAGGCCAGCCCCCAGGACAGACTCAGGAGAGCAGAGAGCCAGTCTGGGAAGGATTCAGAGTCCCAGACCCCACCAGACACTGGCGGGGTGAAACCCTGACTCAGAGTAGCCTCAGAGGGAGCCCCGTGAGGGTTCTTCTCCTTCTGACACCAGGCTCTTCCCCCTCCCGAGGACTCGAGAAAGACCTGCCTGGAACTACCAGGTCCAGAGAAAGTTTGGGGTGGTGCTTGGTGTCTTGCCACGAGGGGGCAAAGCAGGAGGGATAAAAAGGTGCCCTCAGGGGCAGACCTTGCTGGGAAGAACCCCCACCCCAGTACTGGTGCTCAGGGCAAGACAGGACACCGATCGGCTCCACGCTGGCCCGAGGGCACACAGAGCCCTGGGCCCCTCCTAAGGTGATCAGGGAACGGGGACCCCAGTGCGCGCCCCTCCCGGGGAAGGCCCACAACCAAGCCCAGAGTGGCCGGCCACTCGGCACAGCCCACACACCTGCCAACACAGGCCATACAGCCAGAGGAATGGGGCTGTGCATACCCTAGGCCCCGACCTTCTCTCCATCCTGTGTCTGGTATTCAGGAACTGTGAAATAACCCTAGCCTCACCCCCCACAGGTATCCCCAAATCAAGAAGTCCAGCCCCAGATTGTAGGAAGGAGCCGCCCACAAGCCTTCTCCTCACACTTCCGGCCCTGGCCTTGCTGGTTCTCAGCCCGGAGCGCACCCAGGCCACAGAGCCTCCCTCGCCCTGGGTACCCAGGGTTCAGAGAAGCAGGGAGGACAGGGCTCCCTCATGTCTCAAAGAGAATCTCCTCATTCAAATCTGTGAAATCTGGGGTTCCTCAGGGGGTGAAGTCTGTTCAGCGTCCAACTCCTGGTTTCAGCTCGGGTCATGATCTCAGCATCGTGACCTCAGGGTCATGAGATTGAGCCCGGCGACAGCTCCGTACACAGCACGGAGTCTGCTTAAAAAAACTCTCCCTCTCCCTCTGCCTCCACCCTGCTCACAGGCTCTCTCTCAAATAAATAAACACACCTTTTTGTAAAAAATCTGTGAAATCTGAGGGTGTTCGTGTGGGACAGTAAATTGCCCCGAGGTTCTAGCTACAGGGCTCTACACGCACCAGAGACCCAGGCCCGCGCTTCCTGCAGGAAGGTGAGTGAAGGCCCACTGGGGAAGCTCAGGGTCCTCCAGGACAGGCAGCAGGTCTAGCCTGGAGAGTCCCCTGTTGGGTGCAGGCTCTCAGCCCTAGGGCGGCGGCGGGAGGCTTGCAGGCCCCCCACACCCTGCTGTGCCCCCTTCTGGGCCCACAGCATGGGAGGCTGGTGCCCTGGTCACGGCCTCAGGCCTGGTGGCCTCGGGGTGCTGGGGCAACTACCCGGGCTCCTGTCCTGACTCAGGCCCTGGGAACACAAGATTGCGACGCTGGTGAGGGGAGAAGGCAGGTGGGGAGGGTGGGGAGACCCCGTGCCGGCTGTAGGCAGCCGTGTCTCCGCAGAAGTCATGCAGAGGAACCGTCCAGATCTGCAGCAACCCCGTGGTCTGGGTATCAGTGAACAAGACTGTGAGAGCGGCTGGTGGCAGCGGGAAGCTCACGGAGGGACCAGGAGATGGACGAGAGGCAGACGTCTCTCCGCAGACATCCACCGCCTGTGTGGTTTCTGCCCACGTACATGTTCTTCTCTCGGCAAGAAAAAACGATGAGAGAGAGAGGAGTTGGGTTGTCTGTGAGCAAGAAATTCTGCTTCCACACAAAGACATCCAGACCCCTCAGATCCCTCCATGCAGCTGGGACCTATACCAAGCCCCCTAAACACAGGTACAGAGCTTCCCCCAGAAACCGCATGCACGCACGTACACACTTGCACATGCACAGATAAGGGTGCCCAAGTCCACAGAGACCCACAGACGGAGGCATAGATGTGCTCAGTGGGGCACGCAGACATGGCCCCCTCCAACTGCCAACAGGCCTGGGCACTCCAGAGACCCCGTGCTGCAAGCCCCCACACACACAGGAACACGCACGCACACACACACACACACACGCACCCCAGGGCCACTGGCTGGAGAATCCACCCAGGCCAGTGAGCACCGCGGGGACCCTGGGGATGACGACAGGTGCTACCACAGCTCCTGCCCCCACTGCTTCCTAGAGCTCCAAGTCAACCAGCGGGTCTGCCTCCCTCCTTCACGGCTCCTTTGTGCTGCCACCAGGCTGGAGACTCACTGGGAAGCCAGCCGCACCGAGGCTGCTGCCCAGGCAGGTCCTAAAAGCTCCCCAGAGGGCAGAGAGCTGACAGGGACCCTGGCGAGAGCCCGTCGGTGGGCCTCACCTCCCTCCACCACTCCTGCCCCAGCCAGCACTGGCCTCCTGCACACAACCACCGGGGTCACCAACTTCTGGTCACATGTCATCAGACAGGTCAGTGGGGCGAAGAGCAGTGGTCCCACAGGGGTGTGATTGGGAGGGCTCTGGCTTCAGGACCCCTGGATTTGAAGGGGGCAGCGGTGAGCCTGGGAGGTGTGTTTGCATAGACACCACCTTGGTCCCATGTAGATTACACGCGGGTGGGGAGCAGGACAGGGAGGGCGGAGAGAGACTCCGTGTGTCCTCAACCCTGGCAAAATGGCCATGGCCTCTGCCGGAGAGCGTGAGGGGCTGCTGTGCTAAGCTAAGAGTCAAAGACCAAAGGTCTCTTTGCCTCTCAGAACCCAGCCCCAGGAGGTCCCTACCCAGCCTCCCCACTCCCAGGCACCGCCAACCGGCCCGGGGTCCCACCTCAGGATGCAGGCTGCTGGGCTGGGTCCCCTCGAAAGCAGAGGCTCCCCCTTTCAGGCCACAACAGGCACCAACCACACTCGGGATGATGGCACCAGGCCCAAGGCCTCTGAGAGCTGCTGCCGGCCGTGTACTCCCTGATCCACACCATGGTGCCGACACGCAACACAGCTGTCATCCACATGATCCTGAGGGGGCCCAGCAGGAGGACGGTGGCCCACGTGTCCATCCTGAACCTGGCTGTTGCCGTCAGTCTCTTCATGCTGGTGCTGCCCGCCCTCGTCACGGGACGACCACTGCAGCCCCAGACTTTCAGGGAGCCGCTCTGCAAACGGGTGCCAGCTGTCCACCGCCAGATCCTCTTCTCCAGCACCTACCTCCTGGCTACTGTGAGTGTGGACCACCACCCGGGGATGCTGGCCGCCACAAGGTCCCGCCCAGGCCCCAGCACACCCTCCTGGGCAAAGATCAGCCTGTGTCCGGGTCGAGGTCACCATCATGGTGTCCTTGCCGTGATCCACAGCAGCGAGCTGCAGGCCGCGAGCTGCGGGCTGAGCTCCCCACAGCCTGAGAGAGCCGGTGCAAGGCTGCATCCACATGCTGGTCCTGCACTTCGTGGCGCCCTCTGTGTGCTAGGTGCGGACCTGCCTCATCGGCCGTGGGCCCCGCAACCGCCCTCCACAACCAAAGCTCTGGGCAAGGCCGAGCAGAAGGCGACCGGCCTGGTTCTGGCTGTGCTGGCCGCGGGTCTGCTCTGCTGGACACACTGCCACCTGGCCTCCGGCATGACCCTGACCGCACACCTGCCCCAGACATCCCCGGTCATCCGCATCTCCTGTGCCATCACCAGCCTCCAGCCCAGGAGCTAAAGGAGCTGTGCCAGCTCCCGTCCCAACGCTTTCCTCTACACTTCCTGGGTGAAAGCTTCCAAAACACCTTCCAGAGCACATTCCGGTGTCCAGGAGCCTGAGCACCCCTTCCACCAGCGCCCCGGGATATCTTAGGACAAGTGCTGTCACTTTGGAGGAACGTTCCACTTGCTCACATCCCATCACTACCTTCTCCATGCAGAGAGAGAAAGACTACGAAGGTTAGCCACCACACCTGCAGAGACGACCGTGAGCCTGTCCCTGTCCATGTCTGCCACCTGGACAGCCCCTGGGTGAGAGGCTGCGGGGGTACAAGTCCTGCCTCCCCACCCCCACCAATCTGACCCTGGCCAAAGTTCTTGGCACAGCAGACATCCCGACTCTACTCACCGGCAGAAACACAGACAACCAACCTTCCTGGATGCCCCTTCCCCATCCTCTCTGACAGCCTGATCTGGAGGGAAAGAAACCCAAACTGTGATCTCTTCGAGGGGACGCTCAGGCTGGCTCCCCCCAAGACAGTACAAACAGATGATAAAAGTGGGAACACCTGGGACAGGAAAGCCACGTGTTACTGTGAAACCACAGACTCAGTCGCAAAGAAGGCCACGCTCATCGCTGGAAACTTGGGTGGCATTTCACCAGGAAACCTGTGCCCCTCTTGTGCCCTCTCTTGACCACCCCCCGCCGCTGTGGCCCACACCCGTTCTGTGTCCTCCATGTCTCAGCCTGTGGCCCCCTCAAATCCTGCTCTAGGACCCAGGGCCCTTCTGCCAGGACCTCTGGACACCCACAGTCTAGAAAGAATATCTGTTACGTGGATGGGCTGGCATCTGGACCCCTTTTTCCCTGGGGTGTGGCCTGGGGCCTAGATTCTTCCAGCAGGAGCTCCACGCTGAGCCTCCAGGGGCAGGGTGGGGACACTGAGGGGCTGGCCACTCAGAGACCATTTTCTTCCAGGAGTTGGGAAGGGGGGACAAGTCCCCAGAAACTGCCCTAGCAGGCCTTGACCAGGATCCCCAGCCTTGGCCCTATGGCTCCCAGCTGGTTCTATGCCTGGGGTTCAGGCCGTGCTACCCGGGGTCACTGGCACCTCTCGATATCTTCCAGAGCTCCCGGGGCCCAAACCGGTTGTCGTCCTCACAGCGGGGAGCTCCGAGCAGTCCGTCCCCCTGCCACGCTACACCCGCCATTCACCACCTATGAGGTCACCCCACGGTGCATGGCCACTACCTGTCATACACTCCAGCGTCTCTAGTCACATGTGTCCTCGGAGCTCAGACCCACACGCATCCCTCTCACCTCTCCTCTCTCAGCCTGATACAATTCAAACACACCCTCTCCCCCTTCTCTTCCTTGACAACACCACGATCTGTGGCCATGTAACAAACTTCCCCAGAATCTATCGGCTTAAAACCTTGTCTCATAGCTCCCGTGGGCCAAGGATTCAGGAGCAGTTTTGGAATGGTTCTAGCTCAGACACTCTCCTGAGATTAGGGTCAGGCCTGCGGCTGAGGCTCTGGTCGCCTGAAGGCTGGACGAGGGCCACGGGTGCTGCTTCCAAGGAGGTCCCCTCGCACGGCCTGCGGCAGGAGACCTCAGGTCCTCACCACCCAGACTCCCCCCAGGGCTGCTGGGGCATCGTCACTACCTGGCGGCTGGCCCCAGGGGGCGAGCAGGTGGGCAGGGAGAGGCCAGAGGAGGCCTCGACGCCATTCAAGACTGTCCTGGAGGCAGCGTGCCACATTCTGTTCATTAGGAGCAAGTCCCCAAGCCCAGCCCATGCGCAGGACCTGTGGACATTTGTTAAACCACCGCTCACACCCACATCTCTCCCTGGAAGGTTCTGAGTCCTGCTCCCCGCAGTGCGGTCATTCCTCTGCCAGCTGCAGCCCTCATTACGGCCTCCGCACCGCCCGTCCCTGCAAGCTTCTTGAGGAGAGGAGCGGAGGCTCTCAACAGCCATCTGAGGTGTGAGCAGGTGCAAATGAGTGAGGGAACAGGGCACCCAAGCCACCCTGGCAGGGGCTGCGTTCCTGAGAAGCCGTGGGAACAGGAGGGGAGGGGAGGGGGGGCCGGCAGGGGCAGGCTCCTCACCCCAGTCAATGCACCTGACCCTTCAGGGCCCATCTCCCCTGTAGGGCAGGGCAAGCAGGTTAGGGTACCCCCACCACCGGCGCTCCCCCCGCCCCACCGCACAGTCTCCCCAGCACTCCCCAGGTACCCGCTGCTGTAGGCCCCTCATTCCCAAACTTCCCCTTGATGCTAACTGTCTGTTTGAACAGCCAAGTGCCCATCGTTAAGGTTGGTGTGAAACCGCACACCGGCCCCTCTGCGGGGGCCAAACACTTCCCCCCCAAGCTTGCCCTCACCACCCCCTCTGACACCCCTCTTTCTGAGAGGGTCACCCACCCCAAGGGTCAACCTGGACCAAACTGGGTCCACACCAGAGCCGGAGGCATGTCCCCATCTCAGGGCCACCAATGGAGGCTGTCTGTTCATCTTCCAAAACTCTGCTGGGTCTGCTCAAGGAAGGGGGAGAGGGCTGGGGCAGCGAGGGGTCTGCTGGGACTAAGTGGGGTGAGAGAAACATGGGGCCCCGTGGGAAGAGCTCACCCCACCCCGACCCGCAGGGAGCCTCTAGCCACAGGGGCAGGATGTAGGTGCCATAGCTGGTTGTTCAAGGAGAAGCTATTTGTGCTGAAGGAAAGGAAACAGACCTCCAACGCATCACGAAATCACACTTTCTGGAAGTTGTAGCCTCGCAGTCTCCAAGGGTACCATCCCATGAAGACAGAGCCTGGGCAGGTGAGGAGCCCAGAGCAGGTGGGAGGACTCCTTACCCCAGCGGCCCCACCCCACGGGAGTCAGAAACACCTGCTCAGTGGGAAGGGGTTTATGGTGGCCCCAATGACCCCTGGAGACAAGATTAGGGTTGGTTCTGTGTGGGGGAAATGACACTGGTCGCATGCATAAATACACGAAGCAACATGTCCCACCAGCACGCGTCCTTCGGCCTGTCACGAAAACGCCCCAGCTGGGCGGCTCCATCCCCCCCAGGAACGAACCCACAGAGCTGGGGCTCCCTGAAGCAGGAGAAGCCAGCCCAAAGTCAGTGCTTCCTGTTCTTTGCAGGAGCCCGAGACCACCTGGCTGAGGTCCGCCGCTCAGCTCATGGGTGGAGGCGGAATGGTCTTTTCAGTGTTGGATTTCCATAGTTTATCTACAGGAGAGAGTGTCTGCAAATTCGCCAGACGGCAGCTCCTAACCACAGAGCAAGAAGGGTGCTCCTCCGGGGACCACAGCGGGGAGCCCCCTCCCCGGCAATGGTGTTCCCGCTCCAGACCATTCTCACAGTGGCAGCGGGAAGCTCAGCGCCCGCCCCCCCCACAGACCCCTGGAGGTTTGTCAGTGATGCCGGGGCCGGTCGCCAGAGAGGCAGAGCAGAGTCCGTCCCCACGGCCAACTCCTCTTCCAGGTCCACCAGGGTCCAAACAGGGCGCAAGGGCCTGTTGGCCGCAAAACTGCTGACCTCTGATTTCAAGAGAGCCTTGGAGGACCCAGGGACACAGCACAGCAGAGCGCCCCTCCCCTCCAGCACTGTGCAGCCAAAACCAGGACTCCGGGGCTGTTTCCAGAACGACAAAGTGGCGTGAGGCGACCGAGCAGCCCACTGTCCCTCCAGGCCACCTCCACACCCCAGACAGCCACATTTGTGGTTGACGGTTCTTTGTGCTTCGGGAGCGAAAAGCCCCTCAGAAGCCTCTCAGAGGCGGGCGTGGGGGACAGGGAAGTGACGGCACTTGAGGCCCAGGCAAGTCCTCACCGGCAGCTCCAAACCCCAAGGAGGGGTTGCAGGACCCCCCGCAGAGAGCACATGGCATAGGGAGCAGGTGGCACACTGCTGTCACACCTCCAGGTGTGCCCATACCCAGAGCCCACAGGGCGCCGTGGGGGAGAGGCCAGCAGAGTCCCATGAGGGTTAGGGTGTTGGCAGGGGCTCTGGCCGGGCACACTCGTGGCAGGGGTCCCCTCTCTGCTATGCACGAGGAGGGCAGCTACCATCTGACCTGTCCCATGACGTCACCAGGCCCTCTGAGGCCACGCGGAAGTCCGCAAGTCCGGCAATGCCCAGGATCCAGGTTGGGTGTCAGCCTAAAGAGCAGTGACCTGGGTGAGCTCTGTGTTGGGTGTTGATGGGCTCTGCGGGCTGACGGGCACCATGGGCAGGTCCACGCCTAGTCATGCGGGCCGTGGTACTGTCTCAGAAGTCTTGCAGGCAAGGGCCACGTCCTTGGCGATGCTGCGCACACGGTCGGACACCTGTGTCTCCCGGCGCAGGGCCGGGGCACAGCAGAACTTCCGGAAGCAGGCCTTGAAGTTCTCGTCCAGGAAGGCGTAGAGGACGGGGTTGAGGCCACTGTTGACGTAGCCGAGCGCCGTGCAGAAGCGCAGGACGGCCACGGCGGCCTCGCTGCCCGGCTGCACGCCCAGGCCCTGCGCTAGCACGAAGACCTGCACAGGCGTCCAGCAGCCCACGAACACGGCCACCACCACCAGCACCAGCCGCGTGATGCGCCGCAGGTTCCGGTCCTTCTCGCGGGAGCCGGACAGCAGGCGCACGCCACGCAGCCGCCGGATCATGAGGCTGTAGCAGATGGAGATGACGAGTACGGGAATGATGAAGGAGAAGAGGAAGATGCACACGGCAAACACAGGGCCCCAGTAGTCCTGTGGGGCGGGGATCTCCACCAGACACTCGATCTCTGCAGGGAGAAAACCAGGGTCAGTGTGGGTGGACCGGGAAGGACCCTCTGCGACCCAGGCAAGAAGAGCACCGGGGAAGGGGGGCCGCCCCTGACCTTCATCCTCGACCTGCGCCGAGCCCATGATGGCAACAGGAACACCGACAACGGACGCCAGAGCCCAGATGGCCACATTGACAGCCTGAGCCTTGCTGGACGTCCGGACATCGAGAGCTCGGATGGGGTGGCAGATGGCTACGTAGCGGTCCACACTCATGGCGGTCAAGGTGAAGGTGCTGGTGAACATGTTGTAATAGTCGATGGCAATGACCGTCTTGCACAGGGCATTTCCAAACGGCCAGAAGCCCAAGAGGACGTCAGTGCCCTGGAAGGGCAGTGTCAGCAGCACCAAAGTGTCTGCCAGGGCCAGGTTAAAGATGTAAATGTTGGTGGCCGTCTTCATCTTGGTGTGTCTGCAGAGAGCACAGGGAAAAGGAAGGCTTCATCCAGTGCCCATGGCTGGACCTGGCAGCAAAGCCCAGGGGCCTTCTTATTGCCACCATGAGGAGCACCCAGTCTGAGGCCCTTGTTAAAATGCAGGTTCCTGGGCCCAGCATAAGGGCATGGAGCCGGGGAGCAAACAGTCCTTCCAGCACACACAAAAGGGTTCCAGACCCGAAGATTGGTCTGCTTTGGAGAAGTTGGGTAGGTAGGGTAGCAGGGCACACATCTGACTCCACATGGGATCAAAGAGGTAGGACTCCTACGAAAAAGAGCCTGTCCTCCTCCCTCCCTTTCAAGTCTTCCTAAAGACCCTTCACGGACTACAAGGTTGGCCTTACAGACACCAGAGATTTCTAAGGGCTCCAAAGTCTATAAGAGCCCATCAACAGCCGTCACAGCCCATGTTGTGGTCTGGGGATAGAGACGGGAAATGGTGACAGGAATGGGAGAGGAGCTAATGTGGTCTGGCTGTACCCAAGGAACAGGTCTGGGGACATTACAGCTGCTTAATAAATATTTGTTGACTGAATTAATAGTAATAATATTGGTGATGGTGGGGGGTGGTAAGCGTGGTGAGTGTGTTAAGTGTGTGGGGGGTGG